TCTTGAGTGAATAAGACTTCAGCTAAGCTCCCTGACAAGGCACTGCTATTGACCAAAATCCACATTCAGGTGGAATAACAGACAGGGTTCTGTAGGATATAGGCTGAGTTCCCTAACTAAATGTTAAATGACTGCAAGTCATGCTTCATAGTGAGACCCACTGACTAGATTCTCTTCCTGTGCTGAATTTCTGTCTGTATTCCACGACCAATATTAATTAGTATTAGGCTTCTAGACTGAAAATATCTGCAGATATTTTCTAGCCTACTGGGGCTATCAGCTATTCAGTAATCAGTCATGGTGTGAGTAGGTGTTTGTGGGAAACACAGCCAAGCAGAATTTCTGTCCTTTCTCCCTTGTCAGGGACCCTAGAATTGAAGAAGCTTACTTGTTTATAAGGAACATCACTGGCTTGGTCAAATATTCAGGTAGAGCCATAGATTGAACTCTGTGGACAGTCTGTACCAATTTGTGGGCACTCAAGAAGGTAAAATTATATATAGTATTTATATATAGTGTTCCCTGGCCAGTCAGTTCAGTTTCATTAGGGAGTGGTACCACTGTCTGAACTCTCTGATTAGGGGACAATAACACCATCAGGGGTACAATTCTCTCAAGATCTGTGTACTAATCACTCAGAACCTTACAATATTTCTGTGTTCATGGTTAGTATCAGGTGGTCTAGCCCTATACATTTCTCCCCTTGTCACCTGTCAAATAAAACACAACTGGACCTCCTATGCAAAAATGAAGAACAGAATGTCTGCCTCAGATTCTTGTTTACCCACTAAAGATCATATAGGTTCAGGAAGCCCTCTTTGTGCAGAGATGTGCACCACCGTGTGAAGGCAGGATGACACAGGCAAAACTGTACTGACTGGTTTTAGTGCTGCTCTTGAAGGTGGCTCAAGGAGTGTTGCATCTTCACTCTCAGGTTCTGTGGTTTTTACAAAGATATTTTAATGCATTGATGGCCGAGAACTGACTCTTCTTTCAACAAAGATATTAAGGTTGTGAACCAGGTTCTGGTATCTGTCGTGGTTAGTTTTATTACCTTGTGAAAATCTAGGATCACCTTAGAGGCACCTTGATTATCTAGAGAATTGTCTAGATTGGGTTTATCTGTGGCATTGTGGTTACATAACTTGAGGATGGAAGACCCAAGCATTGTGGGTGATAGCATTCATTGGGCAGGGGAACCTGAATTATATAAGAATGGAGAAAGCAAAGGACTCATAGTGAATTATTTGCTTGTTCTCTACTCTTGACTATGGACATAGCTGCTTCAAGTTCTTACTGCTTTGACTTCCCTACAGTGATTGACTATAACCTGGTACAGTGAGTAAATATAAACCCATTCTCTATACATTGCTTTAAAAATGGGATTTTATTACAACAACAGAAAAGAAACTAAGCCAGTATCCATTATGAGGCTCGTTATATATTAGAGGGAGAAAGCACCATTTTTGTGTAAACATGAAAATTTGGTGATTTAGACTTAGAAGTCAATGTAACTGTTTTACCTTCCATGTCTGATGGACAAACTCAAGGTAAACTGTCTCTATAATCAAATTAATCCAGCAGTTAGTGTAGTGTATTATCAAGCCCCAAGCTTCAATTCCACCAGAGTTGGGAAAAGACTTAAAATAAAAGATAAATTAAAGGGTTAAAGGGAAACAAGAAAATACATTTAAAGAAGGAAGACACAACAATGCCAAAATCAAGATGGCATGCTGACATCTACTTAGCTAATGGAAAGAATGTCCATTCCCATGAATATCTAACTTTTAAACATTTAAAGGGCCCAGAATAAATGTTCCTGCTATTACTTGTGTACTCAATGACTTGATCTGGGTTAGCCAACCTACTCTTGGCACTCTCTATTTCTTCCTCCTACTCCAGCCTCCAGACTCTTCTATACAGACCCCCGTGCCAGCAATAGCCACCTACTAACCATCTGCCAAAGCTGCTTTCCTGCCTTCATTCATGTGAAAAACTGTCTAAAAATCCCACTCCATCAGCATCCTCTCCCAACTTGTGGGTGAGATCAAAAGAGTCAGTCTCAACAGAGTAATAATCTTCTATTCCTTATATCCAGGGTTTTAATATTAACTCTTTTAGTCTGTACTAAAATAATAGAATGAATTATTGTAGCTATTTTACATGACTTCTGAAATGACTAATTAAGATCACTTTATAAACCCACTTTTCCACAAAGAAATATCAAATTTGGTTTGAAACTATAGAAATTTATCAAAGGCCATCTGAAGAGCAGTTTTTCAGTGAAAATGACAAGCTGATTAAGAACCAGAGTCTGTGCATTGTAACTTGATTGCCTCTCTCCCCTGTCCACAGGTCTTCAGTATAATTGAAAGACAATAACCCTGTAAGCATAGAAGCTGGAGAAAACAACAGTAAGGAGAGCCACATCTCAACATAACATAATCATACCACTGAAAGGCACAGAGAGGGGGAGGAGGGGGAAGGG